CGCCACAAAAAATATGGACATCACCACACTGCACCACACCACAACACCTATAAAATCGGCTTCCACAAACATAGAACTCACATCACACGCCACCAACACAAATCGGCTCCCACTCACATCGCACCAACAAACTGGCTTCTACACACTTCTACGCATCGAGACACTGCTGCATCGCCGTCGACTAGCTGGTCGCATAGCACAGCCACGATGATGCTACTGTAAGCCTTGACTCTACGGCGCTCAAATTGACTAGGTGACGACTTTGATCGAACAGATTGCTCACAACGTCGGCTGCGAGGGCGCTACACCACAGCAACTATGCCGCCGCTCGACTCTCACGTTTCCAATGATGGTGATGGAGGTTCGAGGGAGGGAGAGGGTAGAGAGAGAGGGAGAGGGGGAGACAGTGGAGAGAGAGAGAGAGAGAGAGAGAGAGATAGAGGGAGGCGAGATATGAAAAATCTGAGAATATGAAAAAATGATTAGGGTTTGTTTGGATTAGGTAGTGTAGGTATAAATAATACCTTATTTCTGATTAAAAAACCTTTGCACCTGATTTTTGCACTCACATCTTTAGATACCGAGAATCTTGTAATTTCCTCCTTAAATATTTTGGTGTTGCTCGGGCTCAATCCGTTTTCTTAGATGACCATAATTGAGAGAGATTTCTTGTGAGCCCATTTATTTATTGGGCCTCTACTTTGACCAATTTATTAACCTAGCTGCACTAACCATACTTGGGCCTTATTACTTGATAAAATGGGCCTCCTTTTCTCTTTGTGAGAGACGTCTTCTGTCTCTCTCGTGTTCGGCCATTTTTTGCAAGTTTTTTTCTACTCTCCTGCCTTCTTTTGAGCTACCTATAGTGGTGATAATATATGAGATATAGTGCACCTTTTGGTCTCCTAAGTGAACTATCTCATTGGCAACTAAAAGTGGAAGCTTGGTTATTGTCTTGGATCGTTGTTGTCGGGTTGCGATGTTAATAGTTGGAAGAAACTGAGCCTGGGCAAGCTTTGATGCTCAAAATACGTTCAACAAATATCCATTATAAGATTGTAACACAGTCTGGTTACATACAAAATCTTCCATTTAGTTACAGAATTTACGTACAAATATCTGATTTACTCTTTTTTCTTTTTCTTTCTTCTACCCCCACTATGGTGTGGTGGTTGGGCGGGTGATTCGAAAGATTATTTTTGTAAATGTTATGCCCTAAATCCAATCAATTTAGGTTGTAAACACTTTTAATATGTTTAGTACATTTATTTTGGCAAGATCTATTATTTATTTAAACTAATATTTCGATGAATAATATTAAATAATAGAGTCTGAAGATTCAAGTTTAAGTAATTTGTTTATCACAAGGAGTTGTGATTGTGAGATGCAAATTACATATGATTAAATCTTAAATAATCCATGGTCGTAAGTAATAACAAGATACAGATATCGTTATTATGTATATATCATCACGTGTGACATTTTTTACTTGTGAAGTAAGTAGCTGATCTCACAAATTAAAGTGTGGTGATACTAAAATGATCGCATAGATGCTTTGTTGTAGAACGAAACATTGGAAACCTGCTAAGAGATTTCACATAGATAACTATCTGAGTGTCAGTGGTTAATCTTTAACGTTCGGTAGTAAAATTGATCCTTTGACTTGAGGTCATCATAGGACTTAATAGTAGAATGAAAGATTTGATTGATATCGAGATTAATATACTTTCATATCTCGTAATTGATTGGATCATATTTACGAAAGGATTATAGTTTCATGGTAAACGAACAAGTTTGGTTTTGTCATACCACATGACATTTTTCGTCGCATGTATTGTCATGATACATTGCTAGATGTCAATTTGGGATGACGAGTGCGAATTGGTGATAAATTAAAATGGTGCTTTAATTTATCAATTTTAATTAGATCAAAATAATATTTCACGTCGCTAGGCATTGTAATCGAGAATCTGATGGGTCGCTCACAAAAGAGAATTGGAAGATTGAAATTTGTCAATAAATTAATTTAACAATCGTTTGATAAATTAATTAATTGGGTTGGTTATTTATATGTTCGAATTAATTAATTAATTCACGGATCGGATTTAATTAAATGTATTAATTATTGGATCGGATTAGGTCAAGCCCGTTTGAACTTGTATAAATACATGGCTATGATATTCGTAGAGATTTTCTCATAATTCTTGCTATCACAAAAAGAGAAAACCCTAGTGGCTGCAATTTGTTCTCTGTGTGGAATTTATTGGAGACTGGACAATTGGACATCTGTGAGAGGCAGATCGAAATTGCTAGAACAAAGATAAAGCAAATGAGTTTGCAGATCCAAGAAAATGTATAACTTTTATTTATCACAATTCCTATCTAAATACAAAGATGAATCCTGATGGGAATTGAATTGTTTTTATTTCCGCTGCGCATGTTTAATTAAATTCCAAACACTTTTGACATAATAATATGTCTCGATTTTTCCTCTTCCATAGATTATAGAGTTCAAATTCTAAATAATTTTGCATTTATTTATATAAAATTATCAATCGGTAGTCTAAGTGTTAATTAAATGATTGGACATTTTAAATGCAAGAAATGAAATTTATATCTTTTAATTTAAAAGGTTCAATCACTTGATATTATTTAATTGATACTTAGATTGTCAAGCAATCAAGGTTGACGGTAATATTCTACTTATTTTCATGTGAATATTTTTCGCTATACGTTCTTACATCTCTTTCCAGTTTTCCTTTAAAGAGTTCCTACTAAGCTAAAGGGTTTTTCTTTTCACTTCATCTTTTAGTCTGGATAACGTTAACACTAATGATAAAACTTTCTAGACACTCAACGAGGCTTGATCCCACCATGCTAGTGCCCTTTTACTGTTATTGACAAGGGTTTGTTATATTTTTGTTGTTTTAATGCTTGAAAATGGCTCAGCAACCAGGCTAGATCAAAAGAGAAAAGGAGCTGATTCTGCATGCTTAGGATGCACTATGAACAGTAGAAATCAAAGATATTTTAAGTGGTTAAAGTGAAATTTCATTAGGTCGGTGACACGAGTTGAAATCTTGTTAAGAAACAGGAAGAGTGATTAAACATTTTTTTTTAATAAAATAAAACTATGAACTCATAAATTGAAATAATCGACAAGTCAATTATTACATCGCAGAAGTGATTTGGTTTGGGGACAATCTCTTCATGGTCATGTGCTTTATGGTATTCATATCCACTAATCATTGCTTAGACGGTTCCTATGTAAAAAAATTTCTATTTTCGAGTGATCATTTCCATTTCAATCATGCTACAATGCCATAATCCTTAATATAATGCCACATATCTTTCTATGATTGTATTGTTTTGAACAGGTCAACTTTTTTTTATCAAATCATCGACTAACACTTCGGATTATATCACTGCATCTATTACAATTATTCTGAAAAGGTGGTAAAATCCTGTCCAATTGGGCATGCACTGTTTTGAGTGGCTGGGAATGCTCGCATCCAAGCTGAGCCATCAATCGGCCTTGCTAGCCAAGCTCGATATGTATTGACTTACATCATTTTTCAGTCAACTTTTTTTATTTGATAAAATGGAAATTTTTATTTACCCCTATTTCATATGGATTAAAATTAGGGCATGTTTGATAGAGAAACTTTTCCATGAAAAATGAAAAGTTTCTTTCATTTTCCATCTTTTTTTTTTTAATGTTTGATTGCACAAATTTTCTAGGCAAATCATTTTCCACCGCCAGTCCCCCGCCCCCACGTGATTGGTTTTTTCATGATTTTGTGGAATTCAATCTCTCATGGTTTTGATGAGAATTCACTTTTTCACTTTTTTTTTTATTTTTTTTATTTTTGGCAGTGGAAACAAATTTTATCCACGATTGTAATAAATTATATTTCTTTAATTGATATATTCCATGAAAAACAAAATCAAACGAACACCAAAAGATACAAAATTTCAATATTTTTCAAGTAGAAAATTATACCAATCAAACACATTTAATTAGATAATTTTCAGTAAAATAAATTCTAGACAATTCAATTCCTTAAAATTTATTTTCTTTCCATCCAAATTTCATCATTGCAATCAAATGGACCCTCAAATTTTTAGTAGTTTCTAATAGAAATTGATAAAATGTATGTTTGAAAAATTGTGAATATCATGAAACGTATGATCAGAATTAATTATTAATTTTAATTTGAATTACCAACCATAATATATAAATGGAGCAAAGTAGCTTGCAACAATTTTATTTGAAAAAAATTAAAAAATTGAAATCTTTATTTAATATAAAGGAAGCAGTTCGGTAGCTGCTTGACTTGGCCTACTACTTGGTCAAGAAGTTGCCGTGAGCTCTACTCGCGTATGATCTCTCCCACTCAGTGGCAGATCTAGCACCCGACGACCGCACGTGTTGGATCTGTCTATAACAATTTATTTATTTATTATTATTTTTTTTTTTGACAATAGTAGATAAAAATTTTACTATATATCTATTGACTTGTAGCTTAGTTAGTTAAAGCGTCCACTTATAAACTGGAGGTCTAGGATCGAATTTCTACCCAACCAATTTTATTGCACATTTTTTCTAGTTATTCAATTTAACGCTATAGGATTCAATCCTGTGGTCTCTCATTAAGGTTATTGAAAGTTTTACCATAACAACACTTGAAATTTTTTGACACTAAACATTACAAAATAATATATATTTTGTTTTACATGATTCAATGCAATTGAGAGGACTCAAACCCAGTTCCTTCCTTTGAATTATACAAAACCTTACCACTGTGTCATTTAGTGAACGTTGCTAAAAAGTATAACAAAATTATATATGTTCAAATTTTAGCAAAATAATTATTATAATAATTTTTAATATTTTATTATAATCGATGGTCAATAGTTAACGTCCGTCTGTGCTCAATCTATATTCTGGACCTCCCACTTTCTTTGAACAAAAACAAATCAAATCGAAACACATATGATACCACCTATTACCCACCACTTTCTTCTCTACATTTGATGTTGTCAAAATCAAATACACAGATACATACTCACTCACATATACATAATCCACAGAGAGCAAGAATTGTCAAAATGGATGCATTTGATGAGGGCTAGCAGGAACTAATAATGGCGAGGATATCCAACGAAATGTACGTCCCTTTAACAAAGATTCCTACATGGGCTACATGACATGACTTGTCCCTAATCATCCTAGTGGACCAAAATGTAACGTTCGTCGATAATTGATGCTGATTAGATGTCAGATCCATCACCAATGCTGAATATGAGTTACTATAAAACATGTGCCAAAATCAAATGCTTGTGAAAAATATAATGTGATGTGTCCAAAATAATTATCTCATGTTGAATCCAAATGACTCATATCATTCAATATGTCGTGTAGCTCTAACTCTAAAATTATCAAGCTCCTCACGCTATCAAAAACCAATTGCTACCTGTAGGAAAAATTAGAAGAAAATATATGAGTTGATAGCTCATTGAATGGATAAGTTCGAAAATAATATAATATCAACATCAATAATCAATAATCAACTGAGTAGAGTCGAGTGGCCCATCCTCCTGTGATCATCAGAAGTACATCCCCTAACAGTCCCATGATCACACAAGAAGTATCACACTCAAGATGACAATAATTACAATATCACAGTTAAGTGGACCATTATCTTGTGATCATTAGAGGTACATCACCTGATAGCCCCCATGATTAGCCAGGAAGTATACCACCCGAGATACTAAAAATCACCATATCACAATGGCACAAGCAAGTGGTCAATCCTCCCATGATCACATCCCATAACCACCCTTGCGATCACTTGAGAAGTCTCACTTGTGGCCAACACAATTGCATGCCTCGCATGCCACGGTGCCCTAGTAGCGGTCAATAAAACATGTCTCATATTCTAATTCACAAGTAACCCACATATACTTTTTGTAATTCCACATATATCATACTGAGAGAACATTTATTAATAATCATGTAGCAGAAATAATTCACATAATCCCACATAACGTAATAGTATAATCAATTTATTAGTAATTGAAAATATTTAAATTTTTTCACTCACGGATCTAGGGATAGCAATCTGGTTATATTGATGAGCATTTCCAAACTTTGACGTTACTGCCTCAAATAATAGTATAATAACCTAAATTAAAACCGGACAAGTAAACTAATGTAAATCCACCACATAATTCCTCAACTTCTATATTTATTTTCGGGTATCTATTTCTCAAACTTTTCCTCTCTTTTATTGTTTAATAACAGATCACCATAAATGATCAAATTCATTAAATCACTATATTTTCTTAAAATCACTACTTTATACATATACAACCCCTATACATGATTTAATTCAATACCTGAACTTCAATATATATCATCCAGTTTCATTGAAGCTTGTAAAATCTGAGAAAATCAAAAGTTTGATAAAAATAGCACTAAGATTCCAGAGTATTGAAATTTGGCACCAATTTCCATATATGGAAGACTGTCTCCAAAACCTTCGACAAAAATGGCACATTCTGGCCAAAATTTTTAAAGTAGCAATAGGGTTATAATTGTACGAAAATTGAAGAAAATGAGTTAAGAAATACCAAAATCAAACCTAAAATCCTTGTGCCACTGTAATACCTCATAAATCAAGTGTTTTATATTATATAAACGCAATAAATTAAAGATTGAAACTGTAATTTACAAACCCATTTCAACCTTCCTTCCTTTCAACACTAATCTTCCAATATATATATACTTAAACCCAAAAAAATAATTCAACATACTTACACATACATCTCTAAATCAGTGGAGAAATTGAAGAAATGGAGAACCCAAGCGTGAAAACCCACTTCTTCTTCTTCTTTTTCTTTTCTTCTCCTTCTCTCGAATCTTCCTTGCTAATTTTTCTTTATTCTCCAAATGGAAAAGGGTTTCGATAAGAGTTAAGTGGATCACTATCACAAATTTGCAAAAGAAGTCCTTACCTTCTTTATTATGTAAATTTTAGTCCCTATCATTATGATATTAGAAACCGAATCCTTGAATTTCTATTTTATTTTATTGCCCTAGAGTAACTTTAATTGTAAAGTAAGTCCCATGAAAATCAATTATTCAATTTAAGTCCTTATTTGACTTTGACTAAAAAATTTCTTGACTTTGACTATATTATTAATGGCGTGTAACACTACAACCCCTCTCAACACTATGATTTTGGCAACACTGGCCACGACGGAGCTCAACTGCTCCCACTTCCATCTCTACCTTCACCTTCATCTCCATCACATGCAGCCCCAATGGATAAATTTTTTGGGGATCCCATGATGAGCGCTAACAATAGCATGCAGTCGTCGAAGGGATATGAGTTCGATGGTTCCCTAAATGCCAGGTACTCTCCCTCAGCTTTCAATGACAATGGCATTCATGGGAATGAGAATGGAAAGCCGTATGATACTCCAGCTGACACCGAAGGGCTTTTCACGAATCCCTCTCTTGATGGTCAATTGCTTCTAGACCCTAGTGAGATGCGCAAGAAAGGCGAGGCTTTTCATGAATAGCGTCTATAAGTATTTAGATAGTGAGAATAGTGGTAATTGGCCTTTTGACTTGGCTAATTATCTCACTTACTGGAATTTTAAGCTCTTTGTTATTTAGCAAGTTAAAGTCTTGACTTTACTAAAGCGATTGGTGCCAGCATGGAACCGTTAAGCTTTAATTCGGATTGAAAATTGATTGACTTATTGAAATAGTATTAGCACTTAGTGTAGATTGGAAACTGTGAACCTCCTAGTATTTTGCTGTATGTTGATTTTCTAACTCTTCAAGGCTTCGGTGGTTATATTGATATTTTTAAGGAACTTTTCATTTTATTTACTTGTACGAGAAACATCTTTCCTTGAAAATAAGTGATCGTTGGCCCGCCCCCGGAATGTACAAGAACTTAAATTTCCATAGCTGACAACTTAAATTTGCATATTCTTTCCTGGTTATATTGGAATTTAACAAGTTTTAGAGGCCTTGTCAAAAAAATATTTTTTAATGTTGTTATTTTTCTTGTTCTATTCTACCTCTGTAGTTTGTTTCATCCTTTACTTAAAAACTGAACATCTAATAATCTCGTGCAATTTGTAGGATGGAGTACATATACACCATCTATGATCGATGTGATACAAAGGTTAACACGTTCTAATGTATAGAATGTAGAGAAAGTATATAAAGCATTAAATGATGTCCATAAGTAGATGTTCTTGAAGTCGTGTTTCGGTAAATTGTACAACATCAGGAACATGAAAATATCTACTTAAATAATTCACAACTTGTCATTATGATGGGTTGTATTTGTCGATGAGGATGAATTATAGTTTTGTTTAGGCTTGAATAAAGTTGCTTATTTCTCCTTATACGAGTTTATGCTCGTCATGGTATTAAGCCTTGCTAGTGAGGAGTAGTATCAGAGCTAGATAAATTAAGATGCTTAGGATCGAAATATTGAATGGCGATAAAGCATATCTTTTAGTATGAACTCATCAGATCTTGTTTCAATAGATTAAAACGATTGCGACTTCCAGAGTAATGAAGACTATCACATGTCTACTCCAGTATCATTGTTTACGTTTGATGGTTTGGAGAAATATCAAGCAATCATGCACTGCTAATTCCATCATTGATGTCAAGTATTAGGTAGGCTATGAAACTACTAAATTAGATATATGACTGGAATATCCCAACAGGCATCAAGGTGGTGCCTACATCTGTACATGTCTTTATATTATATTAGAATTACAGTGGGATTGTTGCAAATATTTAAGAACCATGAGCCATCAGAGGGGTAAATACATTGAGCGGAAATATCATCCCTTTAGAGAGATAGTTGGTAGAGAAAATGTAGTTATCAATAAGATTATTAATGGGATAATCTTGTAAACTCATTTATTGAGAGCTTATCGGCTAAGTTTTTTAGGGACGTCGACAAGATATGAGTTTACAAGACATGACACATATACTTTAAGACAAGTGGGAGATTTGTTGGATTGTGTGCCCATATAGTCTATTTTGCTATGATAAAATAATAATTTATAATAAATAAATTGTAATTTTATTTATTTATTGCATTCATTAATATTGAACATACTAATTAAACCATCTATGATTACTTGTGATAATATAAATTGCGTATTTACATTGCAAAGTACAGTGTGACATAATTTATATTTTTATATAAATAATTTTTTCACAACCAATAAGGGTTGACAGATGTAATGGAAGGTTTTAGTGTTAACTAATTTACTATTCAGGTTTGTGATTTGTCCTTATCACAGAAATAGTTAAAGGTGACAATAGTACACTTGATGTGTATTGAAATATCATGTGTCGAATCTAATTTTATAGCATGGCCGTGTGGAGAATTAAATTCCACTTGATCGTTATGTATTTCATTTAAATCACTTAACAATATTATGTATGTCTTTTCATGATTTTAATGGTTCTTTTGATTCATCAATGGGTGAGATCAATTTGATTAGTCAAATATTTCGATGAGTTGAGAACTTGAGAATGAGTGGGTAGAGAAAATGAATTTGTGTTGGGAACCGTTACCCTAAAAATAGGTAGAGTGATTACGGAAGTTTTTTTTATTGAAATGTTAAAATCTAAACTCAGTGTTTAGTAACGGTTAAATTTCGACATTTGTGATTAGTTTACAGGACTATGAAGAAAATGACACTAAGTTAGCGAGAATAATTCGAGAGGCAAAATGATCATTTATGCTCGTATCTAATTATCGATCTTTGGACAGGGATAAATACATATACAACATGTTAGTAGAAAGCATTGCAGATTTATTAGTTTTATTTATCTTATATATTCAAGAATTCAGTCTTTTAGAAAAGCAAATATGAATAATTAGATTGGATGATTCTAAGGTTGACTAGACAGGTCTAATTATTGAAGCTTGAATAACATATGTTCGATTAGGTTCATATGGTAACTTTATAAAGTATTGAAATTTAATTTTAAAAATTATAAGGGCTTAACTGTAATTACAATAAAGCTTTGTACTTAATTGTAATTACTATGAAAATTGTAAATTTAATTATAATTGTAATTAAAGTTCTAAGACTATACATATAATTAAATATAAACTAATTGAATCTGGATTTTAATTAAAACTCCTACTCAAATTTTAATTAAAACTCTTATTTTTTAATGTGGAATATTATTGTACGAGGATTGTAACTATTCTATCTTTATAAATAGAGATTAGATGAAAACTAGACATCCTATAAAATTTTATAATAATCTTAATACATAATTCCATAGTGTTCAAATTTGGAGAGAGAAAAAAAAATTTATTTTTCTTTCTTTAATCAATTGTCTAATTCAAGAACTAGTTTCTTGATATAATTAAAAAGAAAATCCCATCTACCAATATAGTCTTGACTTTGGATAATGTCATAGAAGACTTAGAGGTTTGAAACATCAAATTTTTGAAATTATAAAACCGAAAGTTTGTGATTCAAAAGACTGGAAGCTCTTGATTCAAAATTTATTCAAAAATTGACCATTGAATTTTTTGTAAAAATTTGAATTATTTTATTTTTGATATAACATACACATGAACATCTATATGATTTTGTTTATTGAATTAAACAAATTTTTAATTTTTGAATAATTCTGCTTCCGCATTCCAATAATAGGAATATGCAAAAGTGGCCAGATCAAGACTAGTATGTACACCAATATTGTGGAAAAGAATTTATTATAATTACACGATCAAACTATTACAAAAATAATACACCAAATCGAACAAATATATTGGGAATAATACGAAAATCTTATTAAAAACAAGTGAACAACATCACAACCATAACTGTTTGGTCCAAAACAAAAGAACCTAATAAAACCTAACCTATCCAACATTACATAAATAACATCCACACTTGAAAAATCGCACTCTCTCCCTTTGGAGAGGGCTACACAACGACATTACATAACATTTAATTCAATAATTAACTCTCACATCCACTTACTGACTCACACACCATAGAAAGCAGGACAAAGGGTTCCGAACTAATAAAAAGAAACATCATTTTTTTTTTTTTTTTTTTGGGGTGAAAATGAATCGACAAATATTTCATCGTATCTTTAGGTTGTCCGGGTATTCGATCGACTATCATGGGTTTAGTAGAAGTTGAGGCGGGAAGTATAAGTGGCTTTTGGAGACCAATTTCTGGGAATAATATCCCTTGCAGATAGGCTTCTTCCCGTTGATAGTGTCGTTAACTTTACAGAAAATGGTCCTCTCAAGGGTCCCCCAATAATGCACCAATTTGCACCCCATAAATGTGTCATCTCGAGCCATTCGTTCGAATTTGTCTGCACGATTATAATTTTGTTACGTGATTATTGCAATCTGAATTATTATAAGTTGAGGCAGACAAAAAGTTAAGCACAAATAAAGTTTAGATACTTCATAGTGTACACTATAAGCACTTGAAGTAGAAATCCCATTACAATTATGGGAGGTGTTTTGGTGCACATTGCTCACTAGAGAAATTAAAATGCGTGGACATGTTTGATATACTCGATTAGACAAAATTAATAAAAACTACGTATTAATAAAAAATGTTCAATCGGGGATCTATATTAAAGTAAGTAATTGAGTTTTTTTTAGACAAAGTTCTATGACCGTAGGGCACTTGAAGCTTCTTTGACTATGAATCTCGTCAAAAAAATATTTTTTGTTTTAAGTCTTGTGATTTATTCGTGAAAATTATGGAGAGATGTATTTAGTTACCTGTCTTATTTGCATCGACCCAACATCGCCATCTCCATCTTCGAATTCGACTAAAAGTGAGAGCCAATAGTCAGTTGATCCTTCATTGACATGAAAGGCAATGTTTTTCCCACGATACTTACATGGTGTCCTGCAAATTTACATATAAATTTTGTAAATAAATTAATTATTATTTTTAATTTTAGAATTGAAAAAATAAAAATCATTTACATCTAGACATTTTTCTCCTAATACATAGCCACAGAATTTTTAATATCTGAGCCAGCTATGCTACAGGAAAATTTTGACAGAATTTTTTTACAAATACTTGGCAACTTTTCATTAGTTTTGAACTCAAATATGAGAGAAAATGCACTATACAAGAGCTGCCAACGCAACACAAGTGTTTGGATTCTGAAAATTAATTCTAGAATTTTATTACTTTGCCTCTCTCACATGCCTTAGGTCTTATATGAATAAAAAAGTTCAAAAAATTGGAACCCCGCCATTGTGAGAGTCGATCATCCTCTATGTAAATAAAAAAAAAAAAAAAAAATTCGAGCACTGTAACTGGATTGTTAGTTCTATCTGAGCTCACTTGTCAGTTGAGATGTCACAAGATTTTGACCAAATTAATCTCAAATTGACTAAAAAGAATTAGACAGTTGCACCAATAAAGAACAGATCTGGACATTGTAGTTTAGTCTAGTACGACTTACTGTCGGTAGATGACGGAAATTTCGCCACGGTTGCGCAACCCGCCACCATCACCGGAGATAGCCATCCGGCCAAAGGCGGCACCACTAAGGTCAAAGTGGGTATGGCCATTCGAGCAGTAACCTCCAGGGCACTCGTCCGTAATTATGACTGTCACGGCCCTTCGAGAGCATATCGACTTGTCCAAGCACCTCACTTTATAGCACGCCCCGCACCCTTCCCCATTTTTAAATAATACCGGGCTCACCGCCCCGACTCGAGCTCGTAATGGCTTCACATCCACCAGTGACCCGTATCCACACGCCCCACCTTCAACAAAATAAGATTAGATAGTACAATAAACATAATTATAAACGGAGAATGGTGGGGGCATATATACCGTCACTGCCGTCGCCTTCGGGGCTACCGTACCAAGTAGCGGTGGCGGGATACCAATGTGGCTCAAACACTTGCCGGAGAGGGCTGGCGCCGGCCACCAAGCAATGAAACAACAATAGTATGACAGACACCAAGAAATGGACTATATGGCGGCGACCCTCCATAATTTATGTAGAATGTAGATCAGTGGCACCGCCCAAACACCACTTTTCACGGCGGCGGATGAACCGAGACGGAGAAGTAGAACTGGAGCTCTGCCGACAGTTTAATTAGGTCTTTATGTACTGAAACTCTACTGTTGATTTTGTAGTTGCTGTGTGGAAATAGAAGGTTGCAAAAAGTTGGCATGCGCATTAGGGACCGATTTGTCTTTTTGGCAAATGTTCGTCTTTTTATGTCCATTGCAATTTAATTTAATCACGATGGTGCCACCACTTTTAAGTAGGGCCCACCGACATTTAAGGCGCTGAATCCGCGTTACCGCATCCCCGTGCCTGATTATGGTCAAAGAAGAAGGGTATATTTGTTGTTATAACGAATTAGGGTCCGTTTGATTATAAAGATGGAATTGAATTCGGTGAAAAATGAAGTCCAAGGATTTGAATTATTTAGAATTGTTTTCTTGAGAATTGTAAATTATTGTGTTTGATTGGTATAATTGTTCATATGAAAAATATTGAAATAAAAGTATTTTTTGATATTCATTTGACTTTATTTTACATGAAATTTGTCAATTAAAAGGATAGAATTTACTGGTATTGGGATGACATTAATTTCCATTGCCAAAAAGCAATAAATAAATAAAAAATAATTCAAGAAAATCATCTATTTTTTAGTGTTCGTTTGGATTTGTTTTACATGAAAATTATCAATGAAAGATAAATATTTTTTTACAATAATTCTTAGAATTGATTTCCATTGCCTTTAATAAAAAAAACGAAAAAAAAATCGCTACAGTAGCCGGGAATTCCAATTCTCACCATAGTCAAAATTGAAATTCCACTAAATCAAGGAATAACACAACTTCCAATAAAAGTTAGAAACAAATTTCATGGAAAATCTTGTGAATCAAACACTACATTTTGGGTGGAAAAATCCACCCATTTCCTTGGAATTGGGTGAATCAAACACTACCTTAGATGATTCTAAATTTTGTTTGTTTGTTTGTATTTCGAGACTCACAAAATAATTTCATGTGTGTGTGTTTTTATTGTTTTTTTTTTATTTTTTTAGAAATGTAAGTTGTAATTTATATAAATATTTTTCGAAAACTAAGCACTTTCGATTGAGATTTTAGGTAATGTTCTTAAGATTGGTCCGAGTATTGACCTTAAAAAGGTAAATTGTGAAGAGCTAAAAGATTTCTTTCCTAATGATTAATTTGATGAGGCCTTATTATAATCAACCTCAAGCATAAATAAGCAAGCAAATGTTTTTTTTAACTGATTTCACCAGATATTTTATATTAGCAAAAACCGTTATCAAAGCACACGCGAATAAGAATGTAAAGCATGACTTCATAGCCAATAAATGAAGAACCCGTGGACTGATGAATAAAGCATGAGAAGATAACACATTTAAGTTCTGTTTGGGCCCCATTAATTTCATGAATAACGGGAAAGAATAGAAAAAAAATGGGTTCAAAAAGGGCCTTTGTTAAAAGTTAACTAATCAGTGAATGCCTCGTATCACAAGCAAAAATCACTAAAGTACCTTCTCAGTGCCTCTGATAGACCCCTATTAAAGTCACCTATGTGAGAAGGAAGAAATGAGGGAATGCAGATAGCAACAACTCAAGTGAGGCATAAGGATAAAAGCAATCATTCCAAGGCAGTTAGTTAGTTCAAAGGGCTAAATTACGAAATTGAGTCTGGGAAAATTCCAATAAATGTCATGGGGGGAGGGCTATAGAATGCATTCGCGTTCTCTGTCAAGTCTAGTGGGAAGAGGCTAGGCCTCTAGAATGTCTTGGATCTCTTCCTTCTTTCAGTATTTCATTTCAAGGAATAACAATTCATTTCTTTGCTGAATTAATTCTTACTTCTCAGTTCCTTAAGTAAACCAGCCTGTAGTGCAAATTCATCCTACAAAATAGTGTATAAATTTTCCCCTATTGTTGAACAGGTTCTCTCAGCCAGAGCCATAGCCATTAGAAGCCATAATTTCAATTTTCCGTAATGCGTACGTACTAAATTCGGTATCAGAACATCGATCTAGGGATGATGACAATCACAAATCGAGTGAGTGCATTGGAAACACGAACGAATGGAATCTAGGGAAAGTTACAAGATGAAATACTAATCATGAGAGCATAAATTCAAAAAGATCTATAAGCAGTGGTGGAGAAGTTTGAATTCATAAGGCAGAAATGGGAAGCAAAAAAGGGATAGCATCTAGTTCAGTTGAACCCACTCTCATTTCTGAGATGCCGACCAAGTTTGCTGAAATCGGAGTTAAGTCAGAAGGCAGGAAATGCAGGAAAAACCTGTAGATAATTAAGAAACGAAATCGTAAATGGGGAATGCAGATTTTCAATGGGGAAGATTCTAATGGATGGATATGATGAAAATTTGTTGTTCAAAATAATAAACATGCGTGGAATGAAGTGGACGAGATTGGAACAAAAATGTTAACGGGTAGCAACCAATTAAGCCCATTCGACCGCATGGCCCATGGCCTATTACCGAAACTGCAAGCCCTTTGTTGGCATGAACCATGCGGTCGCATGGTAGTTAAATCCGACCGTTAGATCATTGTCGAAGTGGTTTCGTTCTCCATTGCCAAAATTATCACACCGGGGTTTGGAGAAGAAATCGAGAAATGGAAATTCAAGAAGATGGAATAAACGTGAAGAACAATCCGAATATGAAAGGCTCAAACACGACATTATATCGATGTCCTCAAACGATATTTGCCCCCTCTCGATAACAATTTTGGTGCTTAAAGGGTCTCGCGGCAAACGGTTTGAAGGATTGATCAAACCTTGATGTAGAGAAACACAAAAGCACAAGCATTTCTCCATGCGGTCGCATGGGCTTATTACCGAAACTGCAGGCCCTTTGCTGGCATGAACCATGCGACCGCATGGTATTAAACCATGCAGTCGCATGGTAGTTAAATTTGACCATTAGATCATTGTCGAAGTGGTTTCGTTCTCCATTGCCAAAAATCGTTTAAGATTGCTGGGAAAAATTATCACACCAGGGTTTGGAGAAGAAATCAAGAAATAGAAATTTAAGAAAATGAAATAAACGTGAAGAACAATCTGAATATGAAAGGCTCAAATACAACATTATATCGTTGTCCTCAAACGATATTTACCCCCCTCTCGGTAACAATTTTGGTGCTTAAAGGGTCTTGCGGCAAGCGGTTTGAAGAAATGATCAAGTTGATGGGTAGAGATTTTGTTCGTGTGGACCGTTTGATGGCACTAAATGGTTCGATATGTAGAAAGATATGAATCCAGATTTTCATATTCAAATTTGGTAAATTCAATTCACTATCTCCAAATTTGGAAAGTCGAAATTGCTTTTCAATTTCACGCATTCATACGATATGTGAATATTTTATGTATGCAATCTGAGATTCTATAGCAAATTTGAAAGGAAAATTTGAATCGGTGCATGCACAAAAACCCAATATAATGTGTTCAAAATGCAATTCCCCATGAATTCAGTTTCTAATATGACCAAGTGAGATGGAGAAAACTGCTTATGATATTGGCACGTGTATGCATAATCTCGGCTTGGAATTAGGTTGTCACTGCATGAGATTGAATTTCTTAAAATAAGATTGCAAAATTCAATTTTCCTTTTCGGTTTATGTACCGTTCGTGATTCTATATAACATATTCTCATTTTAAACCCGCACACGATAGAGATTATTTTGATACTACACTACCTTTATGGGAAAATTGTCAAAATAAGTCATGAGAATTTGATTATGCATAAATAGAGGCATGTGTGAATTATGGGAAAAAGGCAGAAACAATTTAAACGAGCAAGTTTTAATGTTAGGAGCCCTTTTTCATTTACAGTCATTTTATTCTAAATCCACATGCATACTTTGCTGATATATGAAACGGTGGATTTATTGACTATATTGAATTTACTACTTTATCTTCATGTCCTTTTGGTGGTCTAAAATAAAAGGGCACAAATTCTTGTCTTCATGTCATTTGGTGTAAAACATACTCTATGTTTTATAAAATGACATGTATGCCTTTTGGTATGTGCATCTATTTGATCAATTAATTAAGAAAAATGTTTTAGTGGCACAGAACCTTGATTCTCTTCTTTGCATATGGTTAGATATGTAACGATAAAAGAATTCCGTCAATATTTGGTAAACATAATATGTTTGACATTATGGCTTTTGGGAAAGCCCAATTTTTTGTAAATGAAATTAGATGTATTTTCAACTTACTGATCTGAAAAGTTTATGCGAGTTGTTCTCTTTTCAAATCTATTGTTAAATTTTAATATGTCTAAATTGAGAAACATGTTCTGTGGATAAGAATATTGTTGGTTTTTTGCCATGATTGTTCATACCTGTTGGAAATGGGAATTAAAAGTAAATGAATGTTTCTCTTTATTAATCCACATATTTTACATGGACGCACTTAAAAAAAAACGTGGTATTGGGAGGAATAGTCGGTGTTCCTTAAGATTGTTTATCCATGTTGGATTTGATGTCTAATTCGATGATGGAAATTATTTGCCATGAAAATAGTTTCTGTTGGAAAGCCATGAAAATAGTTTTTGTTGGAAAGCCTTAATTATCTATTTTGCATCTCTATTGGTTGTAAGTTGTATTACTTTATGAAAGAAATTATGTGAACTTTCATGACCATTTCTTCTACTAGAAAATGGAAAATTGCATATGAATTACTTCATCTTGATGAACAAATTACATGTAAAATTAAAACAAATTGGTTATTCTTACTTTGTTGTGACAATTGGAATGGTTCACATGCATGAATATTAAAGAATGCAATTCAAACCAATTTGGGCTGTCACATTTGCTTGGATGATACACAAACCCACTTGGGTAGCCCACATGTTTCTATAAGGCGTCATTTATTGCACGGTGCATAAAGGATGTGAATAAATGTGGAAGGATACCTACTTTTTGTTGAAAGTACAAGAAATTTCATGACTACTTCTTCTATTGGAATATGAGAATTATATGATAAATTTGCTGGTTGATTTCATGTCCTATTGGAATGTTGATAGCCACAATTAAGTGAGATAATCTAATGCAAAATTGTGTTTGCATATAAATGAGACAAAATGTGATTTTGTTCAAAAGTAAATAAGGTGAATATATGCCTTATTATTCGAGATAATATAATGTTAGTCTTAT